ATATGGACCCACTGTAAGACCAGGTGGCCCCTGGCCCTGATGAAGAAAGTCAGGGTGGGTGTGGGGTGGCGAATGGAGCAATATGGTTGTCTGTCCTGTTGGTCCTCAATCTCTCATCTCTTCCCTGCATAACCTACAGAGGCATGTCTTGAAACCCTTTTTTTCTTTTCATAGGAGATGGAATCTCGCTCTGTTGCCCAGACTGGAGTCCAGTGGCATGATCTCAGCTCACTGTAACCTCTGCCTCCGGGGTTCAAGTGATTCTCCTACGTCAGCCTCCCGAGTAGCTGGGATTACAGGCACGCGCCACCACGCCCAGCTAATTTTTGTATTTTTAGTAGAGACGGGGTTTCACCATGTTGGCCAGGCTGGTCTTGAACGCCTGACCTCAGGTTATGTGCCCACCTCAGACTCCCTAAGTCCTGGGATTACAGGCGACAGCCACCGTACCCAGAAACCCTTTTTCTGATGCTAGAAATGGCATAGGCATAGAAAACAAGATTCAGGAAGAACTGGGATCAAGGAGTGGGCAGGTTATTCCAGGGAGTCTGCTGTGCCTTGGGTACCCTCATTGCCATACAACACACATTTTTAGCCCCAAACGGACCAATTGCCAGCTGGCCATCGACCACCTCAACTCTGGGTAATGAGATCCATATGTTTCCATAAGAGCCCAGCTAAGCTTTTCCCCAGCCGTTCTTACAGTGTTCTCTCCCTCTCCACTTTCCAACTCGACTCTTGGCCACCCTTGTTCCATTTGCTCCTTACGAGGGTGGCAGTGACAAGAGACAATGCTTTGGGAAATCATCCTTCCTGACTTCATTTTTTCAGATCCTCAGGCTAAGAGGCAGTCCCTCAGCCTCTCCAGGCCTCTGCTGCCCCATCTCTAAAGCGGGAAAAACAACCCCTACTCAGGGTAGGGAGAGAGCATCATGAAAAGAGCCCTGGACGGGAAGGTGGGAGGCTGGTGCTCCAATCCCAATTTGACCACCAACTTGCTGTGTGTCCCTGAGCCGGCTCCTACCCAACTCTGGACTACATTTGTGATCTCTAAGGGCCCTTCCTTCCATCCCTGACAGGCTTCAGACTTATAACAAATGACGGTGCAGGAAGAACATTCACTTTCCTGGGTGGCTCCAAGGTAAGGGTCCCCCAGGAAGCTTATGACCTCCCTACCGTGGCCACCCTCAGTCCAAGCCCAGGCTCCCTTTGACAAGTCTGGCCCAGTGAGGGCTTCTGCCTGCAGCATCGGGCACCAAGTAGAAGCAGGGTGGTGGTGAGACGCGGCATTCCCAGATGGAAGGACAGCTCCACAGCTCAGAAGGAGTGTGTATAGGGGGGCGCTATGGTCAGCCACTGAGGAAGGTGAGTATGAGTTCAGAGAACTCTCTCCTTATCTGGTTTGTCAAAGGCAACCCCCAAGTCCTGGTCTCAACATGGCTCACTACCCTGATCCCGATTGTCCACCGACCCTACCCAAAGACAACTCACACAAACCTTGGCCGCTGTCACTGCCTACAAACGGACCCCCACAGCCTTACTACACACATTTATCCCTAAAGCCTGCCCCAGGCTGGCGAAACCCCAAATCACAGAGACTTCGTGACCTTGCCACTGACTGACCTCTAACAGGAGAACTAATCAGAGAACACTTAAATGCTCGACTCTCAGCGAAGCACCTCACTGAACAGAGCGAGTAGGTAGGGAAGGAGAGCCGAGAAGGCAGAGGCTTCCCGGAGGAGCCCAGCGGGCCTGGGGCCACAGTTGGAAGGTCGGGAAGGCCCAGTGCAGGGCACGACGCAGGCGCTCGAGGAATGCGAGTTGCCTGAAAGAACGAAGGAAGGAAGGAACCGGGTGCGATCCAGGGCTGCCTCGCGGCCGGGGCAGGAAGCGGGTGGGGGGCGCGCCGAGGCTGCAGAGGCCCGAGCGCAGCTGGGGGCAGCGAGAGAGCAGTGGGGTCAGCGACTTCGCTGGGTGGGGGGCCCCCCAGGCCGGGAGGCTGGGAACCGAGAGGCCACGCTGCTGGCAGAGCGGCGGGGGCGCCGCGAGGCTCCGGATGGGCTGCGAGCCCCGCCCGCAGGCTGCGGAGGGAGCCGGAGCCAGAGCGGAGCCAGAGCTCAGACATCCGGGCGCCAGCGAACACCTGCGAGCAGCCCCCAGGGCTCGCGGGGGGAGCATGGGGCGCCAGGAGGGGCGGGGAGGGGGCGGGGCCGGTTATGCCCCGCCCCTCCAGGCTCCGGGCCACGTGGGCCGAGGCTCTGTCCGTGCCCCGGCGCTGCTGAGCCGCCGATGGGGAGTGGCTGTCTCCAGGGAGGTCCGGGAGTGGGCAGAGGGGAGCTCTGGAAGCAGCGCTGCGGGAAAGAGAGCAGCAGGAGGCTTTTAGGGTGTAGCCTGGGGCTTGGGGAAGAGTGGTGGCCACGAGGGGTAATGAGGCCGGGAAGACAGATAATTGAAGGTTGTCCCGCGCGTCCACGGGTAGAGAGCTATAACCGGCTTTCAGGAAAGGGCACCATTTCTGGTGTCACAGGCATGAATTTGAATCCTGGCTTGTTACTTCGGAGCCTTGTGGCCACCGGCAAGTTCCTTCGCCTGTTCTAAGCTAATTTACAAAATAAAGATACCTCCCAAATAATCTATTCTCGTCAGCTCTGAATGTGATCGCATGCGACAATTTCGTGTCAGCAGTGAATCTTGCAGTTCAGGAAGCCTAGTGGATACTTTATGCTCCTTATGGTTTATCTGAACAACACACCTGGAAAGAAGGTATTGTCATCCCCCTTTCACAGATGAGGGGGAGTCCTAGGTCTTTCATTCCACAAGCACTCACTGGTGCCCAAGCATGTGCCAGGCTCTGGGAATGGGGAGGAAAAAGCCAATCTGAAGTGAAGGCAAGAACATGAGCTTTGAAGCTAGAGGAAACTGGGTTTCCCAAACTCTGCTCTGCAACTTTCTTGCTGTGTGACGTGGATCAAGTTATTCGGCCTCTCTGAGTCTTTTTTTCTATAAACCAGGAATGAGACCTATCATGGTAGTTTGTGAGGATTAGAACAAAAATGAAGATAAAATAGTCTGGAACCTGGCGGGCCCTTCCACAGGTGATTATGACAGAAGACACTATCATCTCTCTGGGAGTTTTCTGACCTAGGGCCAAATTGCTTTCACTCTCTAATGACTAATGGATTGGCATGCTGGTCTATCTTTTGTCCTGGCCACCTGAACAGCTCAGTCCTGGGAGTCCTGACAGGCAATTTCCTTAGAATTAGCTTAATAATACCTCGTAGGTGTGTGATGCATTTCAAAGAACTTTCCCACCATTATCTTCTGTCCTGGGAGACAGCAGGGCACAGAAGGAGAGAGGCTCAGAGATGTAGAGTGGCTTGCTCACAGTCACACGGCAGATGACCACCCAGTTCTTTTTGGCCTTCTGAAACTTCCGAGCAAGCAGGAGGCAACATGCTATGGCGGAAAAGGGTGTAAGACATTGAGCTCAATGCCTGGTTCTACTGCAGTTAACGGTGTCATGTGGGGCCTGGCATCTCAGAACCACTCCCTTAGGATCAGCTTCCTTCCTTCCTTTACAGATACAGAAACAGGCTCAAGAGAGGCAAAGTCACTAGCCTGAAATTATACAGCTAGGAGGTGACAGAGCAGGGATTTGTGCCCTTGTACGGCCATATCCAAAGCTAGCACGGCACACCTAAAAAACAATCCAAGACAGACCCAGCCTATGCCTTGTACTTGGTTTGCGGCAAGGGTTCCTTCTGTGAGGATTGGAGGTTTGCAATTGCTCTGCAAAGTGTGTATGTGTATTTTCTGAAAACAGTGTTCATCCCTTCCATCAGATCAAAGTGACCAGGACACGAAACAGGTTAAGAACCACCGATGAGGCTGGATGGTTGGCAATGAGCAGAGGTTCTCCTCCTTCCCCCCATGCTCCTGTTCACCCCCAGAAAGCTCACCAGGGTTAAGAAACTAAAGGTGATGACGTGACCTGTTTGTTATGAAATATTGAAGTAATTTATGCCAGGGACCAACACACAGATGAGATCATACCGTAAACAGGAATCTGTAGTAGGGCCAGGCAGCTGGTGAAGCCCACCTGGGGAGCCACCAGGAGTGTGGGGGAAGGCATGGGTTGGGGTCTTGCCTTCTGACCCACTTCCAGTCAAGTCACTGAAGTTAAGGTTCAAATCCCCTCCATTTCACAAGGGCTGTGAGAACCTAGTTCAGAAGCATTACCCACAGAGCTTCCTTTTCCCTATTTCTCAATTAGAGACAGGGATGCTTACAGATTAGGTTCCCAATGGAGGTGGTGTGGAAATACCAGCAGAAATGAGGACTGTGGAGTCTCTTGCCTCACATTCCTTGTTCAGAGTCAGACTCTACAACCACCTAGCATTAGAGAAGGGATTAGTATTAAGTACTTCCCAACCAGCATCCAAATCTTTCTTATCTGAGACCTCATCTCTTCGTTTTCCAACTTTGGAAGCCCACAAGGAAGTCAGCCCAGAAAGCAAAAAGGAAATGAAACCAGGCCCAGTTATCAGTTTATTCATTTCTGTATTGGTCTATCAACCACCACCCATGTCTGGGCACCAGGTGAGGCAACACTTGAGGTTCTTTCAGCTCTTACCACATCCCTGGCTAGAAAGGCATAGTGAATAATTAAGTGACAATAAAACAGAAAGCTACTGATCTCAAGAGACATGAGAACTCAGTTCTCAACCTGCCTGAGCCCCCATCTTGCTCGGCATGCTTGCACCAGTCCCTCTGGTTTCTCTTCATCCGTGAAATGATGGGGCAGAGCCCAGATCTTTTCTCTGCACCCACCCCTCAATGGACATGGGACTCATCATGAGACCTTCTTTCCCCACCCTGTCCTCCTCAGCTGGGCATTTTTTCATCTACCTTTTATGGGAACAAACAAGTTTACTTCCGAAAGCTCCCTAACTTCAGCCATGTGAGAGAAAGCATCATTAGTACTTAAGCGGACACGGGTGTCATATACACAAGTGTTCAAAAATCGTTTATTATGCAAAATGTTAACTTTTATAAAAAGTTTAATATACATCGCATTGTTACAGAAAGTCACCTTCCTGTAAAAAAGGTACAAAAGCTATATACTCTATTATAGAGTTCATAAATCAGGGCATCAGAACCTTTCTCCAAGGAGACCAGAAGACCAGCTCTGCCGCCGCCTTGGCAGAGTCTGGAGAGCAGCCACTCCCTCCTCCACACCTCCATGCTCTGAAAAGACAGTCCTTAAAACTTGGGGGTGGGGTGGGGGCAGGGTGACGTCGCCCAGCTGGTGGCCAGAGCTGGCTCTGGCTCTTCAGGCCACACAAGTTCACAGTCCTTCGCTCTTGGGCACCAGGTTCAGCCTCCAGGAAGGGGTTTGGTGAAGTCAAGTGGGCAGGGCGAAGTTGGGGCCCATCCATGCCGTCCGGCTTCCGGCAGGAGAGGTTCCCGGGGTCCCAGGCCAAACGGGCGCCAGCACCTGCGTTCTGGGCGGGGGAGGAAAGAAGACCAAGGAGCAGTCAGTTTCCGCCAAAGGCGCCGAGGCGGGGGCCGTCCGCAGACTGGCCGGCGCCAGGGAGGAAATTTGGTCTCTACCTCCAGCTGATAACTCCGCGCCCCACGCTGCCCCCACCCAGTTGGCGCCAAAGACCACAGGCGGAGCTTGCACTACCCCTCCCACTTGGAATTGACACTAACTGGGAGGGGGCTGTTGAAGACACAGCTCCCTATACAACTCCAAACAGAAAGACTTTTATTTAGTCGGACCCGCATCTACTTTCCCAGACCCTTGGCCACTGCGGGAGGGCAGGAGCGAGGCGCGTTTAAGGCTGAAATGCACATCACATGGAAACTGACTCTACCATTCATTTGATGCGACCATGGGCAAGTCACTTCTCTCTGGCCTCGGTTTCCCTAAACCGAGGGGGTGGAAATCTTTTAAAAGGTCTGCCAACTCCAGGACTTCCGTTTAAACTCCCTCCCCACGGGAGGAGATACTCACCAGGCGGTGCGAGGACGGCCGGGTCAGTGGCAGAAGCTCCTTTTGTCGTTGGAGATGACAAGTTCCGGAGCAAGCTCGGCTGTCTGAGAAGAGGAAAAGCGGGAAGAGTTACATAAGGCAATCGGGGGCTCTGAGGATCCCACAGCATCTTTGCCTGGGTGTTCAGCCCTGACGCAGCTCCAAGGCTTACCTGGATAGGGAGATGGGGCCCGTCGGGGGGTCCAGGGGCTGGCTCGGCCAGGACCACCTGCAGGTCGAGGATGTAGTCGATGACGCGCTGTAGGATTTCCACCTGGCTAAGCTGAGTGCCCCTCGGGACGCCGGGTACCAGTTCCCGCAGGCGGGAGTAGCAGTGGTTCATGTCGTCCAGCAGGCTCAGCGGCTCCTCTGCTGCCGGGCCCTTGCCTCGGCCCCTGGCGATGGCCAGACTGCGTTCCGACAGGCAGCACACCGCCTCGTAGCAGCCGCGCACCGGGCTCAGCGCCTTCATGCTGGGAAGTGAGTCCAGAAGTGCCCAGAGGTGGGAGAAAACCCAACGAAATCCCCCAACAGTGGCTTGCAATACGTGCACGCTCGCTACCGCGGCACTTATAGAGCCCGCTCCACGGCACGCCCCTTTATGCAAAATGGCCCGCCTCGGCCCCGCCCCCGCCGCCCCTGGGCGTTCACAGCCCGCTTAAATTGCAAACAGGCTTCCTCTGGCTGGTCTGACGCCGAAGACCGCGGAGTCGCGGATTCAAAGAATGAGGAAGCGCTGATACTGGGGAGAGGCGGGCCTCTTCGCCAGCAAGGATTTAAAAATCACTGAAAACCATTAACTTTAAGAATTTGCTTTTTCCTGGCAGCGCCCCAGATCTTTGAGCTTCCATGCCCCCTGCCAGTCCGCCCTTAGCCCAACACTGGTTCGAACCCACAGCTCCTCGGAGGTCATAAATCCTTGAACAGCAAAGAAGCTCCCCCGCTTTTTTTTTTTTTTTTTTTTAGCAAAAGATTTTTCAAGGGAAACTTGTAAGGAATTAGTGCCGCCTTGTTCCCCAATTTGCTGTTCGTCTGACCTCCAGACTCACTGGCGTCAGGAATTATCTTGTGACCAGAGGGAAAAAAAATTAATTGCGGTGAAGCTGAGGTTACAATGAAGAAAACAGATTTGGGCTAGGCGCTGAGTTTGCAGAAGGAGGAGGGAAAGGGGGTTTGAGCAAAGAACGCTATTTATTTGAGCAACAGGGGAAAAGAAGAAAGCCTGATCCCATGCTTTTTGCATGGGGGAAAAAAAGCCTGGACCCTCTGCCCCATGAACTCCATAACGAAACAAATATATTCCCAGTTGTGCTTTGTAAGTAAATTTAATTAGCATTTTGGTCCAGGTTTTAAATATGGAGGCACAGATGGGACAATTTCGATATAAACCTTTTTAGGAGCCCCCCATTGGGTCAGCAAATTTCTTCCCCTCTCCTCACTTTCCACACATCTCTGTGCGGAAAACAATGGTAATTTCATTGCTCTATTGTCTGTCCCTTTCTGCTGTGGAAGGGCGGGCCACCTGGACTTCATTATTCCTACCCCTGCTGAAGTAGCTCCAGCTTTATCTGAATGACCAGGAAAGGAACCAGAGGGCGGGCAAACTAAGTCCTGTATTGCAGCAGGATGCTGTGCTCTGTATTCTTTGCTTGTCTTCTTGTCACCTCCCTAGACATTTGGGAACCTGCTGTTCTAAGATGCTGGTCATCTTGGAAATGACCAAGTGGGATTCCCCCAATGGTTGCTTTCCTAATGAATCATTGGCAAATATTTATGGAGTCTCTCCACATAAAACAGTGGCTCCTGCTTTCAACAATCTCACAATTTGGGGAGACAAGATTAACACAGGAAACAAGAGTTCAATAGTGTGTGGCACTGATTAACGGGACAAGGAGAGCTCAGAGCTAAAGAGAGTCTCAAAATTGAGAACGCTGGCTTTGTCGTGCTAGCTCTGACAATAATTTGGCATGTAATACTGAACAAGCCCAGGTACCCTGGCTTTAATTATTGCCTTGTGAGTAAAATAGAAGATGGTGCTAAGTGATTATTTTAAATCCTTTCCAACTGCAGAAGTCTAAGACTGCAGGTAGGTGAAGGAGGCTGAGGGGCCCAAGGTGGGCATTTAAGACATGGCCAGTGTCACACTACAAGTAATAGCAGAGCCAGTCTTGAAGCCTTGTTCTTTTCCATCAAACCACAGGGCTCTGTGTCCCAAGAAATATTACTTCCTGGAATATTGTTTTCAAGGACAGGTCCTTTAGTGTAAGAAAAGAGGAATGGGATAAAATCGCCAATGAGTAGGCAAGTCAGTCTTTATATGTCACCGAAGTCAAGTGCCAGCTATTTGGTCAGGAAAGGCAAAATAGTGGCTGTAGGGACTCCTGAATGACCAGAGAAGATCCTTCTTTTCCTATCTTGCAGATTTCTGTGGCTTATGCAAAATGGTCATGTCCAGGGGGTTCTAGAAAAATCATGAGCCAGGCAGATTTCTGTGCAAATGCCCTTTCTTCTCTGTTTTAACTAATTGTGTGAACTTTGGCTAAGTCACCTCTGGGCGATTCTATTTTCCCATCTATAAAATGGAACTAATTGGGTCTACTCATTCATTCATTTGATAGTTATTGAATGCCTCTTCTCTGCAAAGCACTTGATGTGCTCATTCCATCTGATCTTGGTCTCCTTACTGCCCAGGGGGCCCAGCATGGGGCCAGTTGTGTGGAAGGTGTTCAGTCTTCCCAGATTCTCCTCCCTTTTTTTCCTTCCTCCACTACTACGACTGATGCCTCAGGCTTGTATAGTGGTTTAGGTTTGCAAAGCACCTTCAAATTTATTATTTCCCAGGATGCTTCCAGGCTGAAATGCCCGAGGGCTGTATGACATAAGGCAGAAGGATGCCGTGGGATTAGCAAGCAGAATTCTGTTCTGTGCATGCCAGTAATTTGCAGTGTGCCCTTGGATGAATTTCTTCCCTTCCTGTTCATTTTCTAAAAAAAAAAAAAAAAAAGAAGAAAAAGAAAAACGATAGTGGGTAGGAAGCTGGGAGGAAGCAAGTGGCAAGTGATATGTAAGGATCCTCTCCAGCCTAAGATTCGAATTTTGAAAGAAGCAGGTTATGGTTAGGAACGCTGAATAGAGTTTAAACCCAAGAGACTTCTTTTTCCCCACAGCAGACTGGACAGGCTAGCTCAGGCCTTCTGCAACTTGTTTAGAGCAGTGGTGGGGCCTCAGCCTCTTATTCCAAATGCCTCTGAACTTTCTGTTCCCAGTTCTGCTCCTTTTACCAGCTTTTCCCCCCTCTTGCATTTTTTATTTTTATGAAAGGATGTCATTAAGGCTTTTGTCTGCGCTGTTTTTGTTTCAGAACTTTTCTCACAATCCTATTTTTTGTTGAGGAATCCGCTCCTTTGCCCAGCTGTGGGTCCCGGTCCCACAGCTGTGTTGATCTAAGACTCAGCCCCAGACAGCCTGGCGCCAGGGTGGGACGTCATGCGTTCACACAGGGATGCGTGTCCCAGGCAACCTTTCCTCGGGCAGTCACCGGCCGGCGACTGCCTCCCTCACCAATGAGCGCCGGACACCCGAGATAGGGGCGGGGTCTGCACCGCCCCAACCGCGAGCGGCTTGTGAATTGCAGATGCTGAGAACTTGATAATGTTCCTTCAGCTGGGGCCCTTTAAAGTCTTTTTTTCCTTTCTCTTTTAGTTCTTTCTTTTCTTTTGCCTATTCCCTTTCTTTCCACCTTCTTCCTTTATCTATATATGTGTATAATTTTTCTTCTTCTTTTTTTCTGTCTCCTCCCAGTGTCAGGAATCATTTTGTAAGCATTTCCAGGAACTGAATCTTCCTCTGCCAAAAATTAAGGAAAAAAAAAAAAACAGAAAAAAGAAAGAGAGAAAAGAAAAAAAAATTCTATGTTGTGCTCTCTGCTTTTTTTTTTTTTTTTTTTGAAGAGTTGGCAGAACTCTTTAAGTTACACTGTTTTGTCTTTTAAAAAATTTCAAGTGGTGGTAGTGGGATCTCTGAATCGTTGATTTCAAAGTAATGATGACAAGGATTGCAGATGTCTTTTTGTCTAAACTGAGCCTCTGTTTATTATCTATCTATCATCTTTTTCCCATTTATGTTCTAGACATGGGGATCATGGGGATCTCAGAAACTTGCTCAAGTTTACTTGGGATGTCAGTAACTGGCCTGTGGCCAGGACCCAGACCTCCTCTCATTTGACTCTCTGTCCACTCTGCCCACTAACTCTTTGTGGTCTTTTTGTTGTTGTTGTTTGTTTTTTTGAGAAGGAATCTCACTCTGTCACCCAGGCTGGAGTGCAGTGGCATGATCTCAGCTCACTGCAACTTCTGTCTCTCGGGTTCAAGTGATTCTCCTGCCTCAGCCTTCCGAGTAGCTGCGATTACAGGCACATGCCACCACACCTGGCTAATTTTTAGTAGAGACAGGGTTTCACCATGTTGGGCAGGCTGATCTCGAATTCCTGACCTCGTGATCTGCCCATCTCAGCCTCCCAAAGAGCGGGAATTACAGGCGTGAGCCACTGTGCCCAGGTGCTCCCTAACCCTTAATAGCATTGGGATGGTCTGCTGTGGCCTCAGAACATTCCCAAATCCCGCATTTCATGATATGTACCTCTTTGCTCCTAAGTACCTAGAAGGTGTGCTGATGATTTGCTGTCACGCACATAGAACATCCCTTCTTTTCCTCCTCTTAGAGAGTCTGGAGCCCATAGTATTGCTTGAGATTCAGGAGATATAAGGAAAGCACAGGGGATTGAGAATCAAGACCAGGTTCAATCCTTGTCCAGACTAGCCCTACCTTCACTCTGCCCCAACTGTCTCTTCTATTAAATTAGGAGAAAAATACCATCCATCTACCTCACAGCTAGGAGAATCAAAGGAGACAAGGGATGGAAAATGCAATGGAAACCAATTAGTTATTTTTATGTGCTGTAATGTGATGTAGCCCCTGTTGAGTGGGATAGATGGTACCAGGTGAGTTGAATGGTTCCCGCTGAGGTTGTTGTCAGGAATGTGGACAACACTGAGACGCTGCATGTAAGGAGCATCTGGATCTAAGATATGGATCGTTACAGGGGTGGGGATTTCAAAGGCCTCCAGGATGGGCTACACTCTAGCTTAAAAGCTCTCAGCGCCACCACCACCATCATCATTCACTGAGTTCTGTTTGCCAAGTCCTGTTTGCCTTCTCACACATTTTCCCATTGATCCCTTTTATAGACAAAGAGACAGTGGCCCAGAGAGGTGAATGTGCTTGCCCAAGGTCACGTAGCTAGATAAGTGGCAGGTCCAAGATTTGCACCCAGTCTGCCTGTCTCCAAAGCCTGTATCCTCCTGCACCTATGCTTTTCCTTCTGCCCTCACAAATGACCTCCTGGGAAGGCAGCCTGGACCTGAGAGGGTTTTATTCTACCAGATAGGGAAAAGCAAAGGCAAATCCAGTAGGTAGGGAGACAGACAGTGAAGTGTTGGGGTACTAGAGGAAAACATTGTTTTCTATGCAGAGAGACTCAGCATTGTAATTTATTGGAAATCTAAAGCTCTTCTTCCCTCAAAGACCTTCCTGTCCATGCTTTAGGAGATGTTTATTCTTTTCTTTTTTTTTTTTTTTTTTTTTGAGACAGAGTCTCACTCTGTCACCCAGGCTGGAGTACAGTGGTGTGATCTCCGCTCACTGCAAACTCTGCCTCCCAATTCTAAGCTATTCTGCCTCAGCCTCCAGAGTAGCTGGGATTACAGGCAGGAGCCACCATGTTCGGCTAATTCCAGGCTGGTCTTGAACTCCTGATCTCAGGTGATCCACTGGCCTCAGTCTCCCAAAATGCTGGGATTACAGGCATGAGTCACTGTGCCCAGC